TTTTCCAGGAAAGGGCAGGGAATTCTCAGAATCAAGGGTTCCTCCCCTTTTTAGACTATATAGGGTAACTTCTAAAAATTGCCGTGCTATCTGTAAACCGCCATGGGGCTGGTGGGAGTGTCTCTTAGCATGGTAATGAATTATAATTAGCATATAACCGAGCAGTGAGGACCACCAGAGGTCACTTTCATTGTCATCTTGGGTTTGTTGGGTTTTGCCTTCTTTACCACATCCTGTTTTATTAGCTGGGTCTCTGTGACCTGCACCTTTTGAAACCAGTCCTGCCAAACTCCTATCTCATGGACATTCAGATGATCACTGTGAATAAAGAGATAGACAAGACACAGCCCTTCAGGAGCTAATAATCTAGTTAAATATTAAAATCAGAATCTGTCAAATCTGTTGTTTCTGGCTATCATGTGTTTCTTAGTTAAAAAGGACACTTGATTAGAAATCAAGAGAGTTTTCCTACTCCCTCTGCCACCAACTTAATCAATTGTGAAGACTGCAGGTAAATAATTGTCCTTCTTTGGAACCATTTGCATCTCTTAAAAGAATTTCTTTGGATCATGGTCCCTACATTCTCTTCCAAGGCTGCCAATCTATGAATTTACTGCTATTTTATTTTTATTGATTTAATCTGTATAACACTGTGTGTCAAATACTATTTTAGGCACTTTACAAATATTAACCTACTTACTACCTGTTACAATCCTACTACGTAAGTACTATCGTTATCCCTAATATTTATATCAAAACTATTATTATTCCCTTTACAGATGATGAAACTGAGGCACAAAGTCATTTGAAACACCTAAGATTATAGGGACATGGATGAATCTAGAAACCATCATTCTTAGCAAACTGACACAAGAACAGAAAATCAAACACTGCATGTTCTCACTCATAGGCAAATGTTGAACACATGGACACAGGGAGGGGAGCATCACACACTGGGGTCTCTTGGGGAATAGGGGAGGGACAGCAGGGGGTAGGGAGGTTGGGGAGGGATAACATGGGGAGAAATGCCAGATATAGGTGATGGGGGGCAGCAAACGACATTGCCATGTATGTACCTATGCAACAATCCTGCATGATCTGCACATGTACCCCATAACCTAAAGTGCAATAATATATACATATATATATATATATTTTACTCTTGAGACTTACTTTGCTTTGCTGAGTGATATATAAGCAGACTTTGAAATTTCCTAAAAGGTAGAGTTAGGTTATTAGTCTGTAGAATCCGTTTTTTACTAGGGTAGGTAGAACAAAAATCTCAGAAAAAGCTGTAGTGATTCACCCAAGATGGTGACACAACAAGAAGTCTGTGTCACAGTCACAAACATACACCCAGCAGCCACAGCGCTTACCCTTGACCAACCAGTGGGAATTCTTGGGAACCCTTTTTGTTTTTTCTGTTCCCCTATTCCTACGTCTCCTTCCTCCTCATTAATGAGAGCAGGTATGTGAAAGTGCCTAACACAGAAACTGGATCATTTTATTGATTAATTGATCGATTGATTGGTTGGTTGGTTGAGACAGGGTCTCACTCTGTCACCCAGTCTGGAGTGCTACTGTCACTCACTGTAGCCTCAAACTCCCAGGCTCAAGTGATCCTCCCACCTCAGCCTCCTGACCAGCTGCAACTACCACCACGCCCAGCTAATTTTTAAAATTTGTATAGGGAAACTCCTGGGCTCAAGCAATCCTCGTAAGTTACCTCAGCTTCCCAAAGTGCTGGCATTGCAGGTGTGAGCCACGTTACCCAGCCCCAACTAGCTCATCTTACTCTCTAAAAAAATTGCCTTTCCTCCTTCTCTTGCTCTTTTTCCCTCCATCCATCTGTCCTTTCTCCCTCACACTCAGCCTTTCAATCTTATCACTTTCATTGTGATGTTTTCTGCCTTTCTAGCCACTTTCTAACCAAATGTAATCACATTTGGTAGAAATTTCTATCCCAAAAGTGTCTATGTATTTCTGCAACATGATGCTGAATTCCTTTTGGCTTCCCCTTCCATCTACTTCAGGGTTCATTTGTCTATTCTACCGTTGAACATCCTGCAGCTGGATCCTCCCTCACAGCCCTGCAACCTCATCCACTGCACTTCCCTTTGCTGCCACACCTTCCATGTCCCTGAAATTCCAACTTTCTGTGTTGCTCTGTGCCTTAAAACTTCTCTGAAGCCGGGTGCGGTGGCTCAAGCCTGTAATCACAGCACTTTGGGAGGCTGAGGCGGGTGGATCACAAGGTCAAGAGATCAAGACCATCCTGGTCAACTTGGTGAAACCCCGTCTCTACTAAAAATACAAAACATTAGCTGGGCATGGTGGCGTGTGCCTGTAATCCCAGCCACTCAGGAGGTTGAGGCAGGAGAATTGCCTGAACCCAGGAGGTGGAGGTTGTGGTGAGCCGAGATCGCGCCATTGCACTCCAGCCTGGGTAACAAGAGCGAAACTCCGTCTCAAAAAAAAACCTTCTCTGAAAGCACCAGGTTTGGCCTGACCTTAGCCATCTTTGCACTCCACCTATTTGACAACACGAACTGAACTTTGAACAATGCATAATTCATTGATTATATTACCAAATGGTGGTCAGAGGACACCGATTTTACACTTAGCAACATATGTAGAACAACAGATTTTTATAACTCACTTGGTATTAATAGATTTTTAACTTCTGTTTTTAATTGACAAAAAGCTATGTATATTTATCATGTACAACATGATTTTTGAAATATGTATGCATTGTGGATTGGTGAAATCAAGCTAATTAACATGTGTATTATTTCACATACTTACCAATTTTTTTGTGGTGAGAACATTTAAAATCTACTCTTAGCAAAGATCAAAAGCACAATACACTGTTATTAACTATATTCATCATGTCGCACAATAGCTCTCTTGAATTTATTCCTCCTGTCTAACTGAAGTGTTGCACCCTTTGACCACATCTTCCCAAAACTGCCCCGTCTTCCCCTACCAGCCCCTGGTAACCACAATTCCACTCTCCACTTCTGTGAGTTTAACTTCTTTAGATTCCACATGTAAGTGAGATTATGCAATAATTTTCTTTCTGTATTTGGCTTATTTTACTTAACATAATGTCCATTAGGTTCATCCATGTTGTTGCAAATGACAGGATTTCCTTCTTTTCTTATGGCTGAAAAATATTCCATTGTATGTATATACGCTCACTCCACACTGCTGCTCATCTGACTGCCTCTCTTGCTAGACTAGACCATAAGCTCCAGAGAGAGGGCTGCGTTCTTTTATCCCTGCATCTCCACTTCTGTTCTGTCAGTGTCTATCACATGCAAATGCTTAAGAATGTTGCCCAGACCAGGCATGGTGTCTCATACCTGTAATCCCAGCACTTTGGGAGGCCGAGGTAGGAGGATCACTTGAGTCCAGGAGTTTAAGACTAGCCTGGGCAAAACAACAAAACTCCATCTCTACAAAAAGTACAAAAATAAGCCCAGTGTCATCGTGGTGCATGCCTGTAGTCCCAGCTACTCCAGAGGCTAAAGCAGGAGAATCGTTTGAACCCAGGAGGCAGAAAGTGCAGCCAGCAGAGATCACACCACTGCACTCAATCCTGGGACCCAGAGCAAGACTCCCTCTCAAAAAGAAAAAAAAAAAAAAAGAATGTGGCTTGAACAAAAAAGGAGGAAAGAATGAAAGTATCCCACACTGGTTTTCTTCATCCATCCATCCACTGACAGACAGACATTCAGCGTGATTCCATATCTTGGTTATTGTGAATAATGCTACAATGAACATTAGAAGATAGATATCCCTTCAACATACTAATTTCATTTCCTTTGGATATATACACAGTAGTGGGATTGCTGGATCATACTGATACCGATAATATTTAAAGTAGTAACATTTGCAAATATTTTTTTCTTCTTTTTTTTTCACTCTGTCATCCAGGCTGGAGTGTAGTGGCGCAATCTCAGCTCACTGCAACCTGCACCTCCCGGGTTCAAGCAATTCTCCTGTCTCAGCCTCCCGAGTAGCTGGAACTACAGCTGCATGCCATCACTCTCGGTCACTTTTTTGTATTTTTAGTAGAGACAGGGTTTCACGGTATTAGCCAGTATGGTCTCGATCTCCTGAACTCGTGATCCACCCGCCTAGGCCTCCCAAAGTGCTGGGATTACAGGTGTGAGCCACCATGCCTGACCGATATTCACGACTTTTAAAAAATTTAAAAAGTAAGGTGATCCTTATATGTGACTTTCATGCATCATGACGTCGTCCTGAGTGGTAGCTACAGAGAAGATGCTTCGAGGTTCTCTCCAGCAATGGGCAACCCCTACCTATGCCCGTGGGAGAATCTCATTCAGGTGAACTGCATCTATCAAATGCGTCATAACCAGGGAAAGGTTTCAAACTACTGGGGAAGGGAAAAGGGCATGGATTTTGAGTCAAAAGACATGAGATTAGATCCAAGCTTTTCATTTACTTTCAGTTTAACTTTCGCCAATTTACTGATTCCATTTAGCTCTTGGCTTTTTGTCTGTAAAAGGGAGAATTTAGTATATTAATCCCTGAGCTCCCTAATACTTTAAAGTTCTAATATTGCAAGATTCTAAGCTTACTGTCCAAATTGTTCAAATGTCCAATTTTGTTAAATTGCTTATAACAGCCACACTTTCTAAACTCACTATTAAGTGGTGTTAAGTAATGAGTAGCACTGTGCTACGTAAGGTGTGAGGATGCAAAGAAAAATGTAAAGCATGGTTCTTACTCTCACTGAGTCTTCGTCTATTTGTGGAGAGAAAATTTAATAAGGCTAATTAGCATGAAGAAGTAGGAAATAAAATTATTCTAATTCTAGTTACACCTAAAACTCAGAAGAAAATTCAAAATAGAGAACTAGTATGATCATGATATTGACTCTAAGCTAGGCTTTACAGAATGGGCAGATTTTGATGGTAGACAAAGGAAAAGATCTTTACGTAGAAAGGAAGCAAATAGTGAGTGAAAGAATATATGGGAAGTATGATTGGATAGTCGGAGTAGAACTATACTGTCAAAAGTTAAGAGAGAGGTAAGCAGAAAATTTCAGATTTGTTTCCATGAATAATTAGAGGCATTAAAGGATTTTTGAGCCAATAAATAATATGATAAATGCACAAACCAAATGACAAGTTAAGGGAAAAAAATCTTAAATATGGCATGTTTCAAATCCAAGGGCATAAGTTTGAAAAATAAAATAATTTTAAAATAAAGAAGAAGAAAAAAGAACGAAAACCTCCTGCCTCTCATTTCCTGGTACCACAATCTGGGGACTATTAGCTAGAACAGTGGAGAGTTTTAATTGCCTCTTAATTGACACTGCATGGGGAGGGAATCAATTGCTAAGGTAACCAGGTCCCAAGCCATATGGGGCTTTGCAGAGTCATTCCAACACCTTGAGCTACCCTTGGAAATGAACAGGCAGTCCTGTTAAGCTGCTCAGTCCCTGGCCAAGCACCTGATTCTAACATCCACCCAAAAGAAGGCAGGACAGTGATCTGGGCCAGCTGACATTTCGAGGCGATTTTGAAAGAGAAGTTCGATGCTGAAATTTTGTCAGAAAATGTGAAAAGATAAATTTCTCCCATTGGGCTCCAATCTCTCTGCCAAAACGATTTTAAGTGGAACATCCTAAAAATTTTTCAGCAGGACTTCGTAGCCACAGGGTGTTAAAGTTGGAATTATCCTTTTACCAATTGGGGAAATAAACCCAGGGTAGGGAAGGAAAATTTTCAAGGTCAAATTTTAATTAACGACAAACCTGGCATTAGACCCCAGGTTTTTCCAGTCCCTAGACAAGTGGTTTCTCCCATTCATCAAATGGCCTGTTATAATATTGCATGTTGAATTAAAGTAGGAATTCCAGGCAGTCTTCAAGATCAGTGTGGTGGACAGCAATGCTGAAGGTGGGGTGGGAGTCGGGTCTTTAGTTCCTTAAAATTCCCAAGCATGTAGGATACTGTCTATGGAAAAGACCCTGAAATTCCATCAGTTTACTGATGCAACTAAAAACTAAGAAAATACCTTAAATCTGGTTATCCTGTAAGCAAAGTCTAGGTTAATACTTGACAAATCAACTTCTAGACCTCTGGATATTGCGATAAAATCACCCTCTTTTAAATGCAATTTCAGGCTGGGTGCGGTGGCTCACACCTGTAATCCCAGCACTTTGGGAGGCCAAGGCAGGTGGATCACCTGAGGTCAGGAGTTTGTGACCAACCTGGCCAACATGGTGAAATCCTGTCTCTACTAAAAATACAAAATTAGCCAGGCATGGGGGTGCATTCCTTGTAATCTCAGCTACTTGAAACAGAGTCTTGCTCTGTTGTGTCGTCTTCTCATTTTTCTCACTGTGTTCTCACCCTCTAATCATATTAGACTTCTCCCCACTCTCAGATCATTAAGTTGTCCTTACACTGTTCCTTTTTCCGTGTCTCTGCTCAAGTTCTCTGTGATTGGTATGGCTTCTTTCTCCTAGTCCCCTAATTTTATATATATATTTTGTTGCTGTTGTTGTTGCTTTCTGAGACAGAGTCTCGCTCTGTTGCTCAGACTGGAGTGCAGTGGCGCATCTCAGCTCACCACAACCTCCGCCTCCCAGGTTGAAGAGATTTTCTTGCCTCAGCCTCCCGAGTAGTTGGGATTGTAGGCACGTGCCACCATACCCAGCTTTTTGTATTTTTAGTAGAGATGGAGTTTCGCCGTGTTGGTCAGGCTGGTCTCAATCTCCCAACCTCAGGTAATCTGCCCACCTCAACCTCCCAAAGTGCTGAGATTACAGGTGTGAGCCACCACGCCCAGCTGTAGTTTCTAAAAAGTAGATTTAGGGACCAGGCGTAGTGGAGCATGCCTGCAATCCCAGCTACTCGGGAGGCTGAGGCAGGAGAATTGCTTGAACCTGGGAGGCGGAGGTTGTGGAGAGCTGAGATGGTGCCATTGTACTCCAGCCTGGGCAACAAGAGTGAAAAAATTCCATCCCAAAAAAAAAAAAAAAAAAAAAAAAGTCTTATCCATTGATCAAGGCCTAACTTCATCTTTTCACTTCCAAATCCTCCCCAGGTCCCTTTGGCAGATGTCTGAAGAGGACATCTATAGTTTTTGCCTTGCTAGTATCCTTTCTTTCTTATTATGTTTTCAACAAACCCTCTTTTCAAATTGTCCTGTTGGGACTATCAAATGTAGTGCACAGTTTTCCCCTTTGTGCATCCCAAATTCACCGTCACCATCACACACTAGTGCAGAATTGGCCATGTGATCTAAACCAAGCAAAAAGCCTCTCTATTAAATTATGGAGTTGATTCACGGACGGAGGGCCATCTTGTGAGTTCTTGAGTCTTGGGTGATTTCAGTAACAGTATGCATGACCTCAGGCCTCTGAGCTCATAAGGGTTACCTTTCTGGACCTGTCTTTTCAAAATCTTGTTATCCGCCCTTCCTTCAATTCTGAGAACTGTTGGGTTTCCCTCAATAAATTATTCATTTTATTGATTAAAGTTTCTGATGTAAGCAATCAAGAAAACTGAATGGTCACATTCTCTCTAATATTTCCAGAGTTCTTTCTTGGTCACTCTGTCCCATTCCTCACCTTTCTGTCTTAGATCTAAAAAAAAATAAAAAGAAAAATGTTCAGGTGTGCGTCTGCCTCTCTCATTGAACTATAAGCCCCTAACCAAGGTCTCTATCCTCCTCAATTCCACTATTGTCATTTTCATACCATGGGTCCTCAGAAAAATGTTATTGGAATTGAAATTGAGAAAACATGTTTTCTTTTCATTTCACACTAATTAAAATCTTCATATAATAGTTCTAGAAGAGAACATTTCTCAAATGTTTGGAATAATTGAATCTTAGGACAGGAAGAGACCTTTAAGGTCCAGAGCTACAATCTGATCCTTACGTCCTTATGATATAATTCCTGTGATATCATGGGAATACAAATAGATATCAATGGAATGTCCGTCATGGGCAACATGATTGTCACCCAACTCTAGAAGAGTTACTCTCTGTCTCACTCCCTTTTCCAGTGTTGAAGGGCAAAACCAGAGGCAGGTTTGCTGTAAGGAAAAAAAAAAAAAAAAAACAGAGAAAGCACAGGGTTAGGAACTCGCAGTTTTTAAAAGAAGCAAGATAGACTAACAGAAAAAACTGGGGGATTGGGCACAAGCAGCAATATTTTACTATTCTGGTAAGGCTTTTGCTCCCATATACGCTTGGATGTCTTCAAAAGCGCATCTTAGCAGTGTGTAAGGGAAAATACAGAGCAGAGCTAACTGCTTCAAAGGGCATACGGAGCCTGGCTCCTTGGAGAGGTCTCTAGTCCTGGCAAAGCCTATCCTGCTCTGTGTCACGGTGGAAAATGGGACTAATGTCAGACTCTGACGGGATTTCTCCATTTTTTGTGTTTGCTTTTTCTTTCAATCTTATTTCACTTCAAGCTTCAATTATAAAGGGTGATGTCTGTTTTATTTTTCTTGGATTTGCCGTTCTCTTGATTTATAAAATCCCAGATATAGTCAATATATACTTTTCAAACACGCCATTGAAACTGAGGTGCAGGACAGCAAGATGGGTGCTGCGCCAGGCTCACTGGAGTGGGCGCTACTCCTCAATTAGGAAAAATGAGATAGGATCGAGAGACTTTCCTCCCTTTAACTCCTTGTCACTGCACTTTGGGTATCCAAAAGCAAGGCTAGAATGTATGACTTCATTACTAAATTAAAATATTATCTGAAATCATTAACAAAAGAAGGACATACATGGGGTTTCTTGGGTGTTTGATCAACACAAGTCAACCCCCTGAACCAAATCACTGCTGCATAAATGCATTGAAAAAGAAATTATCCATGGGTGTAGCTGAGGATCAGATGCAGGCCAATGCAGGGGGCGCTGATGACCACACATTAAAGCTGCCTTGTGCACTGCCTTCACCCCAACAGTAATGTTTCAATTTATGCACCCACCAAAAACTCCTGTCCACCCCTACACAATGCATTTTCTAAATTTTTGATCTTTGCTTTTTTCATAGTTTAAAATTTGTATTTTGTTATATTTTCAAATTGCTTGTTCTTTATAAAAGTACTAGAAAAAACCAAGGTGAACTTCATATAAAAGATAATTTTGACAGCCTGGCCAACATAGCGAAATCTCATCTCTGCTAAAAATACAAAAATTAGCCAGGCATGGTGGTGGGTGCCTGTAGTTCCAGCTACTCGGGAGGCTGAGGCAAGAGAATTGCTTGAACTTGGGAAGAGAGGTTGCAGTGAGCCGAGATCACACCACTGCACTCCAGCCTGGGCAACAGGGTGAGACACTGTCTCAAATAATAATAATAATAATAATAATAATTTTGAGATAGGCAAGACCTTTTTAAGAATGACACAAAATCAGAATTGTAAAAAAGTGAGATATATAAGTATATAAAAATTGAAATTTCCAGGTGTTAAAAATAATACAAAGTCAAAATAAATGACGAGGGAAAAAATTAGCAAAACATATAAAATACAAAAGGCTAATTGTATTAAGTCATAAAACTTTTATAATTGTAAATTTAGTCAATTTATAATTAATTAAACTATTAATTTTTATGGGTACATAGTAGGTATATCCATATATGGTGTACGTGAAATATATTGATATAAGCATACCATGAGTAATAATCACATCAGCATAAATGGGGTATTCATCACCTCAAGCATTTACCATTTCTTTGTGTTATAAATATTCCAATTAAGTTATTTTACTTGTTTTTAAATGTACAAAGGTTTTATAATTTTATACTTGTAATTTATAAATTGACATAAATTTAGCTTTTTTTTTTGAGACTGAGTTTTGCTCTTGTTGCTCAGGCTGGAGTGCAATGGCGTGATCTCGGCTCACTGCAACCTCTGCCTCCTGGGTTCAAGCAATTCTCCTGCCTCAGCCTCCCAAGTAGCTGGGATTACAGGCATGTGCCACCATGCCTGGCTAATTTTGTATTTTTAGTGGAGACGGGGTTTATCCACGTTGAGCAGGCTGATCTCAGATGCCCAACCTCAGGTGGTCCACCTGCCTCAGCCTCCCAAAGTGCTGGGATTACAGGTGTAAGCCACCGTGCCTGGCCAAATTTAGCTTTTATAAATTTATAATTATAAATTATATTAATTTAAGGTTTTATAAATTAATAAGAAAGACTAAATTTTAAAATGGGGAAAAATGAAGTAAAATATTTATAGGTACAAACTCTGTTTTCCCTCCTTTTACACTCTCACTTCACACCATTTTTGGAATCAAAATCCAAATCCATATGAGGCTTATCATCCGATGCATTATCTGGCTCCCCTCCACCTCTCTAATTTCATTTCTTGCCATTATTCCCCTCATTTTCCTATTCCAAATAAACTGGGCTTCTTCCAATTTCTTGATTTCCTCATGCATTCTCTCCCCTTGAAACACATCCCCCTCCTTAAAAAGTAAAAATAAAATAAAACCCTTATCTTTAACAGACATTCATATCTTACCTCAAATGACACTTTCACAGAGAAGTCTTTCTTGACTATTGAAACCCCCTACCCTGTGATAAATGAAGTTCCGTGTTATTCGGTCTCATCTTCCCCTCCCTTTTCCCGTCATTACACTTTACAGTTTATTATATACATACATGTGTTGATCCATTTATTTCTTCTACACTAGATGGTAAACTCACCAAGAAGCAGATCACTCTATCTCCAGGACTTAGTTAATTGCCTGGCACAAAAGACAGTTAAAGAAGTGTTATCTAAATTCAAGCTTGTTTTAAATTTTCTCATGCCTCGATCAGACTTGAAAGCATTCTTCATTTAACTTCCTTCTGTATTATGCATTGTCTCAAACACTGGGTGTCAAAGAACAGTCCTTGAATCAGCAGCATCAGCAGCATCTCGGAACTTGTTAGAAAAGCAGATTCCTGAGCCCAAACCCAAACCTCCTGAATCAGAATCTCTGGGTATAGGGTCCAACTAACTGTGTTTTAACAAGTTCCCAGGTGATTTTGACGTATGCCAAAATGTGAGAACCACTGCTGTAGGATATTACTAGCATTAGTAATCTACAAATTCAAATGTCACATGGCTTAATCACTGTAATTTATTTCTCACTCATGTAACAGTCCAACATGGGTGCTCCACGAGGTTATTTAGGGACCGTGGCCAGGGACCTCAGCTGACAGAGGCTATGCCAACTGAGACATGTAGCTTCCAGGATTTTGCCCTGGACTTTGATATCTAGTGGAGGAACAGAGTAGAGAGAATGGGGATAGTATGGCCGCTTATTAAGCACCACAGCCCAGAGATGACAGGTAATAACTCCACTCACATCCCACTGGGCATAACCAGTCATATGGCCCCATTTTTTTTAATTTAATTTTTTTTTTTTTTTGAGACGGAGTTTTGCTCTTGTTACCCAGGCTGGAGTGCAATGGCGCGATCTCGGCTCACCGCAACCTCTGCCTCCTGGGTTCAGGCAATTCTCCTGCCTCAGCCTCCTGAGTAGCTGGGATTAGAGGCACATGCCACCATGCCCAGCTAATTTTTTATATTTTTAGTAGAGACGGGGTTTCACCATGTTGACCAGGATGGTCTCGATCTCTTGACCTCATGATCCACCCGCCTCGGCCTCCCAAAGTGCTGGGATTACAGGCGTGAGCCACCGCGCCTGGCCTTAAATTTAATTTTAATGGCTACATTGTAGGTATATACATTGTGGGGTAAATGAGACATTTTAATACAGGCATATGATGAGTAATAATTACATCAGGGTAAATGGTGTATCTATCACCTCAAGCATTTATCATTTCTTTGTGCTACAAACATTCCAGTCATACCCTTTGAGATGTTTTTAAAATACAAAAATTATTGTTGAGTATAATCACCCTGTTATGCTATCAAATATTATATATTATTTATTCTATCTAACTATATGCTTTTATCTTTTAACAATATCCATTTACCTACCCCTTACCCTTCCCAGCCCCTGGAAATCATTATTCTACTCTATATCCCTGTGGGTTCAATTGTTTTAATGTTGAGCTCCCACAGATAAGTGAGAACATGCAAAATTTGTCTTTCTGCACCTGACTTATTTCATTTAACATAATATTCTCTAGTTCCAACCATGTTGTTGTAAATGACAGGATTTCATTCCTTTTAATGGCTAATACTTCATTGTGTATATGTACCATATTTTCTTTATCCATTTATCTGCTGATGGACACTTAGGTTGCTTCCAAATTTTGGTTATTGTCAATAGTGCTGTAATTGAACTATGTTCAGTAACAGTGGTGACAGTGAGCATTCTTGCCTTTTTCCATATCTTAGAGGAAGGGCTTTCAGTTTTGCTCCATTCTGTGGAATTCCAGCTGTGAGTCTGCTGCATAAGGCTTTTATTGTGATGAGGTATGTTCCTCCTATGCCCAGGTTTTTTTTCAGGCTTTTTATCATAAAAGGATGTTGAATTTTATCAAATACCTTTTCAGCAATAAATTGAAACGATCACATGGTTTTTGTCCTTCATACCGATAAATATAACGTATCACATTGATTGGTGTGTGTTGTACAATCCTTGCACCCTTGGGATAAATCCCGCTTGGCCATGATGAATGATAGTATTAATGTATAGTCAAATTTGGTTTACTAGCATTTTGTTGAGGATTTTTGCATCAGTGTTTATCAGGCGTATTGGCCTGTAGTTGTTTGTTTTGTTTTTTGAATGATTTTGGAAGTATTGCCTCCTCCTTCAATATTCAGCATGGTTTGAATAAGATATTCTGTAAAAGTTTCGGAGAATTCAGCAGTGAAACCATCAGGTCCTAGCTTTTCTTTGCTGGGAGACTTTATTATAGCTTCAATCTCACTACTTGTTTTTGGTCTATTCAGGTTTTGGATTCATTCATGGTTCAGTCTTGGTAGATTGTATGTGTGTAGAAATGTATCCATTTCTTCTAGGTTTTCCACTTTATTGGCATATAGTTGCTCATGGTATTCTCTTTTTTTTTTTTTTTTTTTTTTTTTTTTTTTTTTTTTTTTTTTTTTTGAGACGGAGTTTCGCTCTTGTTACCCAGGCTGGAGTGCAATGGCACGATCTCGGCTCACCGCAACCTCCGCCTTCCGGGTTCAGGCAATTCTCCTGCCCCAGCCTCCTGAGTCGCTGGGATTACAGGCACACGCCACCATGCCCAGCTAATTTTTTGTATTTTTAGTAGAGACGGGGTTTCACCATGTTGACCAGGATGGTCTCGATCTTTTGACCTCGTGATCCACCCGCCTCGGCCTCCCACAGTGCTGGGATTACAGGCTTGAGCCACCGCGCCCGGCCTATGGTATTCTCTAATAATCCTTTGGATTTCTGTGGTAGCAGTTGTAATGTCTCTTCTTTACATCTCTGATGTTATTTACTTGGGTTTTTTTTTTTCTTTTTTTTTTTTTGTCTGGGCAAAGGATTTGTCCATTTTATCCTTTTGAAAAATTGACTTTTCATTTTGTTGGTCTTTTGTTTTGGTTTTTTTTTAATTTCAATTGTATTTATATTTACTCTGCTCTTCATTATTTCTTATCTTCTACTAATTTGGGGTTTGGTTTGCTCTTGCTTTTTTAATTCCTTAAGATGCATCATTAGGTTATTATTTGAATTTTTTATTTTTATTTTTTTGGAAACAGAGCCTTGCTCTGCTACCCAGGCTGGAGTGAGGTGGCACAATCTTGACTCACTGCAACCTCCAGCTCCTGGGGTCAAGTGATTCTCCTTCCTCAGCCTCCTGAGTTGCTGGCACTACAGGTGTGTGCCACCATGCCCGGCTAATTTTTTTTTTTTTTTTTGTATTTTTAGTAGAGACGGGTTTCACCATGTTAGCCAGGATGGTCTCAATCTCCTGACCTTGTGATCCACCCACCTCAGCCTCCCAAAGTGCTGGGATTACAAGTGTGAGCCACTGTGCCCAGTCCTATTTGAAATTTTTCTACTTTTTTGTTGTAGGAGCTTATTGCTATAAACTTTCCTCTTATTACTGCTTTTGCTGTACTCCATAGTTTTGGGATGTTCTGAGTCCATTTTCCTTTGTTCTAAGAAAATTTTAAATTTCCTTCTTAATTTCTTTATTGACCCACTGGTTATTCAGAAGCATACTGTTTAATTTCCGTGTGTTTGTATAGTTTCAAAACTTTCCCTTTGTGTTGGTTTTTAATTTTATTCCATTGTGGAGAGAGAACATATTTTATATAATTTCAATTTCTGAATATTTTACAACTTGTTTTGTGGCCTAACAGATGGTCTATCCTTGAGAATGATCCATGTACTAAGGAGAAGTTTGTGTAGCCTGGAGACCTTGAATAAAGTGTGCCATAAGCATCTATTAGGTTCATTTGGTCTATAGTGCAGATTAAGTCCAATGTTCCTTTGTTGATTTTCTGTCTGGATGATCTGTCTAATGTTGAAAGTGGGATGTTGAAGTCTCTAGCTAGTATTGTATTGGAATCTCTCTCTCATTAGCTCTGATAATATTTAGTTTCTATATTTGGATGCTCCAGTGTTGGGTGTGTGTATATTTATAACTGCTTTATCTTCTTACATAATTAACACCTTTATCATTATATAATGACCTTCTTTGTCTCTTTTTATAGCTTCTGTCTTGAAATCTGTTTTGTCTGATATTAATATTGTCACCTCTGCTCTTTTTGGGTTTCCATTTGCAGGGAATATCTTTTTCCATCCCTTTATGTTGAGTCTGAATGTTTCTTTATAGGTGAAGTGTGTTTCTTGTAGGCAATAGATTGTTTGGTTTTGTTTTTAATCCATTTAGCTGCTGTGTCTTGACTGGAGAGTTTAATCTATTTACAATGTCATTATTGTAAGGATGAGTAAGGACTTAATCCTGCCATTTTGTTATTTGTTTTCTTGTTGTTTTGTGGCCTTCCTTCCTTCACTCTTTCCTTCCTTCTAGTGCAGGCAATATTTTCTGATAATATAGTATATTTTAATATAATATATTTCTTTTCTTTTCTTTTTCGTGTATCTGTTATAGGTTTTTTATTTGAGGTTGTCATGAGGCTTGCAAATAACATCTTATAACCCATTGTTTTAAATGGATTTCAATTTGGCCAGGTGTGGTGGCTGACACCTGTAATCCCAGCACTTTGGGAGGCTGAGGTGGGAGGATCAGTTGAGGCCCGGAGTTCAAGACCAGGCTGGCCAATATGGTGAAACCTTGTCTATACTAAAAATACAAAAATTAGCTGGGCGTGGTGGCACACACCTGTAATCTCAACTACTTGGGAGGCTGAGGAAGAAGAATTGCTTGAACTCGAGCAGCAAAGGCTGCGGTGAGCCAAGATCACACCACTGCACTCCAACCTGAGCAACAGACTGAGACTCCATCACAATAAATAAATAAATAAATAAATAAGCTGATGACAACACTGGTGATTGAAAAAAAAATAACAAGTAGGGCCAGGCGCGGTGGCTCACGTCTGTAATCCCAGCACTTTGGGAGGCCGAGGCGGGCGGATCACAAGGTCAAGAGATCGAGACCATCCTGGTCAACGTGGTGAAACCCCGTCTCTACTAAAAATACAAAAAATTAGCTGGGCATGGTGGTGCGTGCCTGTAATCCCAGGTACTCAGGAGGCTGAGGCAGGAGAATTGCCTGAACCCGGGAGGCGGAGGTTGCGGTGAGCCGAGATCGTGCCATTGCACTCCAGCCTGGGTAACAAGAGCGAAACTCCGTCTCAAAAAAAAATAAAAAATAAAAAATAAATAACCAGTAAGCCAAGAGAAAACTAATAAAAACTCTACACTTTAACTTCATCCCCCCACTTTTTAACTTTTTTGTGTTTTCTACTTATATCTTACAAAGCGGTTTATATCTTGAAAAGTTGTTGTAGTTGTTATTTTGGGTAGGTTTACCTTTTAGTCTTTCTACTCAAGATATGAGTAGTTTATACACCACAATTAGTGCTATAATATGTAACAATGTTTGTCTGTATACCAGAGAGTTTTGTACCTCCAAAGGATTTCCTGTTGCTCATTAATGTCTTTTTCTTTCAGATTAAAGAACTCCCTTTAGCATTTATTGGAGGACAAGTCTGGTGTTAATGAAATCCTTCAGCTTTTGTTTATCTGGGAAAGTCTTTATTTCTCCCTCATGTTGGAAGGATATTTTCAATTGTTACACTGTTCTAAGACACAAGTTTTTTCCTTCAACACTTCCAATATGTCATGCCACTCTCTCCCACCTGTAAGGTTTCCATTGAGAAGTCTGCTGCCAGACATGCTGGAGCTCCTTTGTATGTTATTTGTTTTTTCTCTCTCACTGGTCTTGACGGACTGCGTTAACTTCTCTTCCCAAGTCCACAAGGGGCATGGTTTCAAAGGCAGAAATTTCCTAGCCACATGCCCAACCTGCCTTCATTCACGTCTCCATCCAGGAACTAGAGTTCTTTGTCTAACTTTCGTGCCCACAGGCTAGGTACACTGCCCCGGTGAGCTTCCTTTGTTTAGAAAGCCCACCAAAAGCCTTGGAAGGAGGGGCTCTATTGCGAGCCTGGCAGCCAATCCTATATCAAAATTGAAGATCAATCACTCCAGGAAGTTTGGACAAGCTCCTCTCAATGGACAAGAACTTGAATGGGGGGCGGCAGTAACTCCAGGGTTAAAATCCTCCCTACTCCTTTACCTATACAGACTCTATCTCTGGATCCCCTCCCATGACAGCATGGGATCTCTCTCTCTCTCTCTCTCTCTCTCTTTCTCTGCCTAACAAATCACTTTCTGCAAAACACTTTGGGTCCAATATTTACTTGAACAAGCTCACCGCACCTC